AAATCAATTTGTTGTATCCATAGATTTTAATCTAATCTCATGTTTGGTTCCTTTGTTTCAGAGTCTGAGTTTCTGTCTTGTCACTGACTGCCTTTGGACCTGTGTAGCTGTCCCCATACTGGCCCTGACCCTAGGTAGATTGATACTTGAAACCTTGAGTATGCTTCCCCATCTCCACCCAAGACCTTGAGCTCAAGGTTATGAATCCTTGTTTGTATGATTATTTTTAGCTGGTTTTTAAATCCAGTATCATGACCTTGCCTAGAATCTCATTCTTGGCATTCATCTGTCCAGACCTTGGGGTTTTGAAGTACAGAAACAGCACATAGATAGAGCTCACTAAAGTATGTATCTGTTTGATAAGAGAAGTTACCAGGTCTTGGGTCCGTAATTTTCAAGTGCCTTTCGTTGGTTTTCTCTGTGTCGTAATCACTCCAGTGTGACCCAGAATGTGACTGCATAATTTTCATTGGATGTTCACTGTGTATTTTACTGACAGTAGCAAATCGAATAGTCTTTTACACTGTAGTTTTGCTGGTTTTAGTTTTCAGATTCAAATGTCTATGGTGTGCAGAATGTAACTTAGCTCTGAAAGAAGGTATGAATGTGTCTGCTGGGGAGACTATGACTTAGGGCATAGCTGTACTAGTAAGTAAAGGGAGGGAGGCTGCAGTGGTCCTCTGGGTATATTGGAGACGTTAGTGCTTATGCTGACGGTGTGTGCTTTGTTGGTGAGGCTCAGATGTGCTCGGTACTTCCCAGGAAGCGTTCAGAGCTCTATATCTTTTCACTCAGTCACTTACAAAGTAGGAATTTATGTGGAACTGGCTTCACCTGTGAGGAGACTGGGCTTGTTGGCCGGATTCTCCCACCCCTGCCCACATGGTCAGAACTGGGGTTTGAGCCTAGGTGTTGCTGCTTCCTCACCTGCCTCCCCAGCCCTGGAATTACCCTTCCTCCATGCATAGAAACTGTAGCTTTCCGCTCTCTGACTTCCATCTTCCGATTGATTACCTGCCCACTTCTCTCATAGACGTGTGTTCTGGTCTTCTTGACTGCTTGAAGCCCTTCAGAGAGGATGCTGCTTTGCCTTTCTTGTCTAGGAACTTGTAGCCACTATTATTGTAGCTCCTATTACTAGTTAAGCTCCAGGCTCTCCTTTCCCCTAGATAGACTTTTTCTGTTCCTTTATGTAGCTGCTGTTGTTTAAGTGAGTTAGAGAATAGAATGATCTAGTATTCTGGAGAGAGAATCCTCTGGAAACTGTCTCCTGAGCTCCCAGCATGGATTAGGTCTCCATAATTTAGTTAGTTTGTTTTTTTGAGACAGGGTGTCTCTGTGCAGCTGTGGCTGTTCTGGAACTCACTCTGTAGACTGTGCTGGTCCGCCTGCCTCTGCCTCCCGAGCGCTGGAGTGCTGGGATTAAAGGCCTGTGTCCCCACCTCCCGGTTTACATTTCCATCCTTTGTGCTCTTCAAATGTTCTACACTATTTGACGTTAGTTCTTAACATATTGATTGTAACTCCTAGTTTCAGTATTACAGTGGATGCGAGTTCAGGGTCTTGTCTCCTGTTAGCATATGGCCCAGTCTCTTCTTAGATGAGTGAATTTAAAAGTCACTATGGAAGCTGCTTTTTAGGGTGTCTCAAGTGAACCTCCTCTTATTAAATTGTTTGTGTAGAAATTGTTCAGGACCACTGACTGTTGCTTACGTCAGAGGAGAGAGCACTACCTTATACTGTGTTTTGATTGGAAATTGTCCCACCTATCTCCCCCCCCCCCCGCTTTACTGTCAGGGTTATGAGGTATCCCCACACTGATTTTTTTGGGGGGGGTCTTCCTGAGATCTCTGCTGTATTCAGTTTATGAAACTTTTATATCCAAGTCTTAGTAAAACGCCAGTTTCCAGAATCTTCACCCTGGCCTCTTACAGTTCCCATGGGATAACCTGGAGAGGAGGGCACCTTCGGCTGTGATCTGTCAGTTTCTCACTGCATGTGCTCCCCTGAGTCCTGCCCACTGCAGACTGTGTCTAGGTTTCCTCTCATCCGTCCTCCAGAGGAGCGAGAGTGAGCTTAGTACATATCAGAGCTGGTCGCTTACTTAAGGGCGGGAGGCCCCTGTGTGGTTCTGAAAGGGCAGGGGACGGATGCTTGTACTGAGGACGCTTGCATGGCTCGTGCTGCTTCTGCTGTCCTGACTGGAATATCACACTACGGTTTCGAAGATGTTGCTGTTGTGAGAAACTGAGCAAAAGCCCACAGGGGTCACTTCCTAGAGCTACCATTACATACTGTACTCTATTTCAGAAGACTGAGGTGGAGATTACTGCCCTGCTTACGATTCCAGTGCTTTCCTATTCTTTGGGTAGAGTAAAACTCTCTGTATGACCTAATGTCATTTGGTGCACTGGTTATAGCCTTTTGTTCGGTCATCTGTCCCTCTAGCCATCTGTGTCCTCAATATATTGACTTTCTTGTTATTGTTCTCATGTCTGCCTCTTTGCATAGCCGTCCTGATAGGTGGCTTCTAGCCTGAGGCTATTCTTGGTGTTTGTTTGGTTAATTCCCTTTCCTTGCTTACAATATCAATTATATTTTCATTTTCTTTAAAGATTTATTTATTATGTATACAACATTCTGCCTCCATGTATGCCCGCACGCCAGAAGAGGGCACCAGATCTCATTACAGATGGTTGTGAGCCACCATGTGGTTGCTGGGAATTGAACTCAGTACCTCTGGAAGAACAGTCAGTGCTCTTAACCTCTGAGCCATCTCTCCAGCCCTATATTTTTATTTTTAAAGAGAATCCTTCCCTTGGGGTTGGAGAGATGGCTTAGAGGCTAAGAGCACTGCCTGCTCTTACAGAGGACCTAAGTTCAATTCCCAGCACCCACATGGTGGCTCAGAAACATCTGCCACTCCAGTTCCAGGAAATCTGACACCCTTTCTTGGCCTTTGTGGGCATTGCGCACATGCGGTGTATAGACATACATTGTAGGGGAAGCACCCATACACACTAAAAAATAAATAAAAATGTAAAGAGCAAACCCTTCCCTGGTCTTCCAGAGTATATCAGGTTCTTTTAAGAGTTAATGAAACATCTGCATAGCGGTCTTCATTTGTCACTTGTTTTTATGTGGCTCTTTAATGCAGGTGTGTCTCTTCACTAGACTTGGGAATTGGCTGTTTGTCTTTATCCCCAACACATGGTACTAGTAGACAATGAGTAACATCAGATGTAAAGGGACCTCCTTCCTCCCGCAGTTGATGTTTGCCTTTGTATAGACTCATGTGGTCCATAGGCGACTGCTGAAGGACTAAAGTCCCCTTACAGACACAGTGTCTTCTTCCTAGACTGTGAGTGAGAATTCTCTCTGAGTGCCTTAAAATAAACTCTTTCAGGCTGCAGGGGCATTTATTGGAGGATGTGATAGGACAATGATTGAGCTGGGTGGCTTTGTGTTTCAGTGACCACTTGAGACTCTGGCTTCTTAGGCAGATGGCAGTCTTTAATTTGTGGGTGTATGGGGTTAATTGGAGCTAATAATTCTTTGACTTATTGAAGAGTTGTTTTATTTTTCGTGATTGGCAGACTTCTCTGTGGTCATGCTTTCTAAAAGTAAGGTCCTATCTGTGTGAGTGGCCATGGTTTGGTTAGAATGGCCAGTGTCCTTAAGTCGTAGAATCCACTGCAGCTAGTATGAGTAGGGAGGGTACTCATTAGCATCTGGAAATTATACTTTTTTGGGGGGAGGGGGCAAAGCCAAACACCTATTCATGGCTTTGACATAGATGGAAGCAGTGCGGTCGGGGAGGTGCTCAACAAATACAGCAGTGTTCTGGACAGAAGGCCACGGCTGCTGCTTGCCATTAACTTAGAAACCAGACTTCAGGAACTTGGGAACCTTCACTGAGTTACTGCAGAAAAGTCACAGGCCTACAGAGTGTTTGTTGTGGGAGCTGTGTGGCTTTCAGATGATAGTGTATCATTCTGTTACCCATAGTGCACAGGTGTACTTGCTTGATGGAAACAGCTTTGCATATGACACTTTGGCTACAGTGGGAGCCTTAAGAAATAAATAGCTTCTAGCGTGTAAGAAAATATACTAGAACCTGGTGCTGTATGCGCTAATCTACCCTGTCTGCATAACCTATCAAGTGACTGACCATTGAAGATTTGCCTCATTTGCCTGTAGATGCTTGATTTGAATCCAGTACAAATGATACACTTTGGGATTGTCCAGCAGGAATTTTATAGGTGGATATAATAGGTTTAAAAGTAGATTCAGTCCATTTGGTCTGAGGATTTGGTAGAGTTCAGAACTAGTGACTGGCTGCTCTGCTTCTCTGATCTTTTAGTATTTACCCCTATATCTGATGTGGGGTTTTCTTATTAAAACCAATTAGAATTTGTGCTACACCAGGGGACCAAGTAATGTTTAGATTTCCCAATGGTGGGTTTTGCCTCCTTTGTTGAAGTTTGTACTTTGTAGGCTGTTTTTGCACAATATCCATTCATATATTTACATACTCATTTATGTTATGTCCTTACTGTGAACAGGAAATGCGGTCTGTCCCATGCTGTATTAGCACCTAATAATACAAAATAGTATAAGTTAGTTTAACTCGGAAGCTCTCAGACTTGGTGTGCAATGCTTTCCAGCAGAAATGTGCATTGATATCATCTTGTAAAGTTATAAAAGCCTAGCATTTTGAATTTAATTGTTGAGGTGAAATATCTGGCATACTTACCATCATTGGGCTCTCAAATGAAGAAGACAGAATGTTCGGGGACTTGCAGGTGACAGTTTTGAAGTATTCTTTCTTGGTAAAGACCCACAGTGGCTAAGAAATCACTGTTTTAGTTTGTTGCTATTGAAAATAGTGTTGGTTTAAATTGGCAGGGGTTAGTTCCTACTTGTTTTCATTTGTTTTAAGGATTTTTTTTTTTTTAAAAAAATATGTGTTTCTTCCTCCCCACCCTCACCCTTTACAGGGGCAGAATTACCAGGACAGGTGATCTCCATGGCAGCGTCTACCCTTGCAAACTTGGCCATCTCCATCACAGGGTACGAGTCAGGCGGTGAAGACCAGCCCTCCACTCAGCCCGCAGGTGACTGACGCCATGAAGTGCTCAGACTCATTCTAGAAATGGATAGAAGGAGGCAGTAGAGTGAAGAGCAGCCTGGCAGCAGCATGGTCCTCAGGCTTGCTGGTGCTCCCCAGCTCGCTCTCATTCCTGTTTTACAGTGTAATCCCCCCTTGTGTGTTTGTTTGTTTGTGTTCTCATGCTTCTGATTGTTTGCTTTTTGGGCTTCCTATCCTGGTTCTTTCCCTTGCCTCTTGAAAACATTCTTAGTCTCGCACTTACACTGCTTTTCTCTCAGTGTCCCGTTTACCGCCCATCGTTCCACCCCAACCCTGTGCTCTCCTTATCTTGTTTTTTGTTTTGTACTCCTTTTCCAGCGGTCAGTTCTACCTTGTTTAGTTTTGTACTGTTTTTTATGCGTTTCCTTCACTTCCCAACTCCCTGTCTACAGTGGGGTGTTTTTCCTTTGCACATTTTATGCATTCATTTTTTTCTTTTTTACTTCCCTGGTATTCTTTCTCTTGTCTCAAAGTGAGAGTACAATTTGAATGCCTTATGCGGTATCTATTTACCGGCTTCCCAGAGCAGACCCTCTCGTTGCTCTGTAGGGCCTGGCTTCTGGTAGATCCAGCTGGTAGATTCATACCAGGTTTAGGGCTGTATCATTCCATACTTTGACGGAGTTCAGAAGTGTGTAAGTCTGTCCCAGTTTGTGCTGAGACGCCTGTTAGTGCCAGGGTAGTTAGAGGTAGAGACTAATACAGCAAACTCTTTTTTTTGTTTTTTGTTTTTTGTTTTTTAGTGCATATGGTTAGTATATGTGCATGTAGTGAATGCATGTGTGTGTAGAGGCCAGAATTTGAGGTCAGTATTTTCCTCAGTCACTGTCTTTAATTTCTGAGGTGAGGTCTTTCATGGTACCTGGAGCTTACCAATTTGACTTGGTTTGCTTGCCAGCAAACTCCAGAGGTTTCCCTGTTCCTACTTTTCCAGTGCTGGGATTGCAGACACACATTGTAGCCCTTTTTCGTGGGTGTTGGGGATTCAAACGCAAGTACTTATGCTTATGTGCCAAACATTTTACCAGCTGAACAATCCTTCAGCTCCCCCAATGTAGCAAGGTATTTTTGAAGAACTGACTAAGTACATGTGTTAAGGAAGGTAGGATTTAGGAAAAAGCCAATCAGAGTAGTAGAAGCACATATTGTTCCTATGCCTGTGAAACCGTGTTTCCAAATCAGAGAAGGATGATACTTAGGTAACTGTTCTTCACTTTTAGCCTTGACCAGTGAGCACAGATACATGCAGGCAAAACATCCATACAAATACAATAAAAATGAATCTCAAAAATATTTAATTCCTATAGAGTAAAAGTTAGAACATTTGCTATCTCCCAGAAAATCTGATTTCCCTAGATCAAAACCCTGCTGATGGGACAGTTTCCACAGATTAGTTTCAGTCCAAATCTTCTGTCTCTTGAACCCAATGCAATCCTGCTACAGATGCCAGTGCAGTATATTTTATATTGTTCTTGTCTCATGTAGACTAAGACAGTGTGTGACTTTGTGTTTTTGTGTTTTTTAGAACCCACGGACAGGGGAGAGCCTCCCCCAGCATTGTCTGCTTCTTCATCCTCCTCCTCCCGTTCCTCACCCTCTTCTCCTTCACCTACTTTGGGCAGACAGAGACCTGAGATGGGGACATTTCTCAGGAAGAAGAAAACGAGTGACATTTACTTTGTGTCTCTTGTGTGGGCCATCATTGCTGTCCAGCTCTGGCTGAATCTGTGGATCGTGCAGCTGCTGCCGGTACCTATTGCAGGTTGTTATTTGGTTAAGTATGTTTTATCTTGTTGCCACAGGCTTTTTTTTCTCCTTTTCTTGCCATGGGATTTTAATATTTGACATAATTTTATAGCCATCTTAAAATAGTTGTATGTTTGTACTTAGGTCATGAGAAAAATGTTTATTTTTATTTCATGTGTATTAGTGTTTGCTTGCCTATGTGTGCCTGTAGAGGCCCAGAAAGGGTATTAGATCCTCTGGAACTTAAGGTCAGACATTTGAAAGCGACATGTGCCCGTGTCCTCTGCAAGAGCCCTAGAGAATTTCAGGACAGCCAGGGATACATAGAGAGACCCTGTTTTAAAACCTATGAAAACAAAGCAAAAAACCCAAAAACCTAACTAAAGAATTTTTGAACTGTTATGTCATTCTGAGTCTCTGACTTTTCTGTTGCTGCCACACAACACCAGGACCAAGGCACCTTATAAAAGAGAACATTAGTTAGAGGCTCATCATTGTTCCTGAGGATGAGTCCATGTCCTGCAAGGTGAGGAACGTGGCAGCAGGTAGGAGACATGGAGCTGGAGTAGTGGCTGAGAGCTTGTGTGCTGAGAGAACAGCTGTGAGGCAGAGAGAGACAGGCAGGCACACACAACATACAGTGTACAGTCTGGGAATGGCATGGACTTTTGAAGTGTTCAAGCGTACTATTAGTGTCTACATCCTCCCATGAGGTCACACCTCTTAATCCTTCCCAAACAGTCCTACTAATTGGGGATCAAACATTCAAATCTATAAGCCTAGGGATCCATTCTCATTCAAACCACCACACTGACCCTGCAAATTACAAGGTTGGGCATAAGAGTATTGGTTCCATGACTTAGAGACATTATAGTGGAAAGAAACAATTGCATAGGTCCACCCTCATTAATGAGCAGCCCTTCTGACCTCTTCCTAGTTGGCTTTAACAGTTTGTTTCTCTGCTGAATAGAGAGCTTGCACAGAGCAGCAGCATGTGAGGAAACAGGAGCGCAGTTGGAAAAGCAGTGGTACGAAGCCCCTCGGGAAGAGCAGCTGCAGTAGCCAAGCAAGTCAGTCAATGTCGGGACCCAGTGTCCTTAGGAAGAGGGAAGTTTTGAAGACCATTGTGGTTCATGATGTTTGTAGGCTAGACAGTGGACCCTGACTGACCCTGGGATTCAGCTCCAAAAAGAAGCTGATGTTTAGCTAGTGGGGCTTACCTGAAAGTGTACCTGGTGTGGTGGTTTGAATAGGAATGGCCCCCATAGAGTCGTGTGTTTGAATGCTTGACTCAAAGGAAGTGGCACTATAAGGAGGTGGCCTTGTGGAAATGGGTGTGGCATTGTTGGAGGAAGTGTGTCAGTGGGGGCAGGCTTTGAGGTCTCAGAAGCTCATGCCACATCTTGTGAGTCTCAACCTCTTCCTGCGGCATGTGGATTGAGTTGAAGAACTCTCAGCTCCTCTAGCACCATGCCTACACGCCACCGTGCTTCCCACCATGATGGTAATGAACCTCTGAAACTGTAAGCCACCCCTAGTAAAATGGTTTCCTTTATAAGATTTGCCATGGTCATGGTGTCTTTTCACAGCAGTAGAAACCCCAACTAAGACACTTGGCTAGTTCCTTCTGTTTACAATACCTGTGACTCTCCTCTCTCCTCTCCTGCATGGCCTTGTTTTAGTACTGCTTTTGCTGTTTAGAATGGAAACTAAGGAACTTTTTCATGTTCTGCTTTGAAATCTGTGTCCTTTATGTTTGTATTTTCTCTGTAGTCTGGATAATTAAAAAGTTGGTGATTCACTTCGGAGTGGTGGGCTTCCTGGAGAAACGCTGCCGCGTGTGGTGGCAGGTTGTCGAGTGCTTCCTGAAGGAGCGGCAGCAGGCGTTAGCACCATGGCCAATTATCGGGCTTGGAAAGTTCTTACTAAAAGTTGATAGCAAGGTATTGTATGATTGGCTGCTTCAGTGGATTTTATGTGTTCCATGGCTTGAAATGATCCATTTCATAGCATGTTAGTTGATAATGTACTTCATATCTAATTCTCCATGAAACTTTAAAGCTTAGAATTAGGGTTCATATGAGATAGGGTGCACTTAAATGAAATGCAATTGTAGTTATTTTTCTTGTTAAAGGAGAGAGCATCTAGATTGACTTCTTTTGCTAAGGACCAGAGTGAAACCCAGAGAGAAGTGACTTGTTTAAGTCTAGGTAATGAGATGCTGACTCAGCGGGGATATTTTGGAGTGATTCTTGTTTGTCAGATACTGTGTTGAGTTACAGGACAGCGTAACCAGTCCTGGACCCCCAGAAACAGAAGCTCGACTTACTGCCCAGATTGGTAATTTCCTAGAACTTCGTAGTTAAACTGGTTAAAGGACAGGAAATCTAAGTCCACACTCCACCTTTGGCTCCCATTTTGGTTATTTACCAGCACTGTGGCCTTGGACAGATGGCTTAACTTCTCTGTGCCTTGGTTTCATTGTTAATGTAGTAGGTAGGATAACACTTAAACCTCATAATGTGGCTGTGTTTGCTGAGTTAATATAAACAAGATCTTATGTGTCTGATGTATTCAGCTATGACCACAGTTTGTATAGAGAAGCATCCATGTGACACAGTGGGAGCACGGAGTGAGGATGCCCTTGGTTGCCCAGGGGTAGGAAAGGGGAGCTTTGGGGAGAGTCAGCAGAGCAGACTGAGCACAGGCAGGCATTATAGGTAGAGGGACTGGCTGTGCAGAGGCTGCACAGGAGAGGCTGTGGCTGCACAGGAGTTACAGGAACGCTTGAGGTTGTCATTCCACCATCCTGACTGGAAAGCAGCATTGTGTTAAGCCCTGTGACCACTGTTCCTTCCTCTCCTTTCCCGACAGCCTCCTCCCTGCTCTTAGAGACTTTCTCTCCTGCTGTTGTTGCGTTCTCTAATGATATCCCACTGTTCTTATCTTCTCTCACCTCCCCTGTCCTCCAGCTCTGGCACTGGCTAAATAAGAAGGTAATAAACACGGTGTGGTTTTCACTACTGGATTTTATACCCTGCCCCACCCCTCAGCATCTCCTTTCTCATTCTGTGTTTCTGTCCACATGTCAAACTAAGATTTGTTTTTAAAATTCTAACTATAAGCTATGGAAGGTCGTGAAATATGAATTCTGCCATAGAGTCATTTTCTGAAACTTCCACAAACTCTTAGATATGAATGGGACACTTTGTTCAAGTATTTAAGAAGTTATGTCTCATAGCACTTCTGTCCATAGAATTGATTTCTTTGCCTTTCCTCATTAATGGGGTGACTCTGGTCTCTTTCTCTTTTTTCCTTCGAGTCTTGCTCTGTAGTCTAGCCTGGCTTCTATCCTCCTGCCTCAGTCTCCCGGGTGCTAGTATTGCAGGCATCTCCCACCAAACCCAGCTGTAGGTTCCTTTGGTTTGTGAAACACATTATGCTATGGTTATGGTAGAGGAAGAAAACTCTATATTTTTCTATAAATGGCACAGAACTTTTAAAAACTGACAAATCTGTAAAATACTTGTTGAATTTGTCTTTTTTAAAAAAAACCAGAAATTGTCAGAGCTTGGGCTTTTATTGTGATAAATCACAGCTTGGGGAACAAGGGATCTATTTCAGCTTGCATGTCTCAATAATAGTCCATCATGGAGAAGTACTGCTTCCTGGCTTGCTCCTCTTGGCTTGCTCAGCTTACTTATTTATTCAACTCAGGACCTCCTGCCCAGGGGCGGCACCGCCCACAGTGGGCTGGGCCCTCCTACATCAATTATAAATCAAGAAAATGCTCCATAGGCTTCCCCATAAACCAGTCTGGGTGGGACATTTTCTTAATTGAGGTTCCCTCTTCTCAAATGACTCTAGCTTGTGTCAAGGTGACAAAAATTAACTGTGAATCCAGTATCCCAAAACAGATTTTCCTCCCTCCCTCCCTCCTTTCCTCCTTTTCTCTTTCCCCCCTTTTTTTTCTATTTAAGAATCCTGTAGCCATGACCTCTAACTCTGACTTTGTTTTTCATTAGTCCTGAAGTTGTCTGTAGGAACTGCTCTCCATGATTTGGTATGGCACTGTGGTAGGCACATTTCATATAAATTCCTAATGCTGGGCTGCTTACATGAGGAATGCTGTGCCTCTGACCTTTAGTCATGACAGAGCAGTGTTTGACTGGCTTTCAAATCCTTAGGACCAGTTTGCAAGGCATCATTTATGTGCTTTCTGTTTAAACACAAGACTTAGTTAGGTTCAGTAAAAATACTGTGACAGACCTTAAAGATGGGAAATTATACCAAAGTCACATCTTCTCGTTTTTTGTTTACTTACTCATATTTATTAATTTATTCAGTATTTGTTTTTGTGGTGCTGTGGGTCAAATTCAGACCTTGAGCATGGCAAGTTGTCATACACTACTAGAGCCAGATATCTGGACTTTTAAATATGGAGATTAGAATTTGCTCCCCCAACCCCACTGAAATGAAGAAATGGGGAGACTTGACAATACCTAAATTTTTAAAACTGAATTGCAAGTAAGCAATGTGTAAAATATATTATATACTTCATTCTATATCTACATGGTTGTATATTCCCTTGTTTCCTATAAGCCTAGTTGGTGTCAGGACGTGAGTATAATTCTATGTCTGTCTGCCTATCTGTCTATCTATCATCTATATTTATCTAGATATCTGGTTAGAATATATATAGAGAGTATAACACATTTTGTTTTCTTTAATTAAAAATAAAGTGATTATGTCTGTTTCCCTAGTTGGTGTCTATTGAAATGAATTTTCCTCAAGATAAGGTAGAAAGAAGAATTAAATTCATTGCTTTATTTGATTGACCCTCAATGGACTAAATGAGTTAGAAACCCAATTTATAAACCTAATATATAGCTGAAAAACAGAGTTAGTTTTAAGATTCCTAAGGGAGCAAGTAACTGCTGTCTTTCATTTTGTGTAGTGTGTTCAGAGCATCGGTGTGTAGTTGGGATGCAGTCTGCATGTCTGTGTGTGTTCTAGAGAAATGCACAAGGATATTTGTTTTTGTTTTTATTTTTTTCTTTGGTTTTTCGAGACAAGGTTTCTCTGTGTAACAGTCTTGGCTGTCCTGGAACTTGCTCTATAGACCAGGCTGGCCTCAAACTTACTGAGATCCACCTTCCGCTGCCTCCTGAGTGCTGGGATTAAAGGTGTGTGTTACCATGCTTATGATATTTCTTAATAACTTGGTAAAGAAAAGCCAGTTGTGTTAGAAGTTTTAGAGTAGGACTAGTGTAATTAAGTTTTTAAAATGCATCTTCTCATATTTGAAATATTTAGCACACCATATTGAAATGGTTCCTCTTCTTTTAAAAACAAAACCTTAAAGGCTACTAATTGGTCATTGCCTAGAAAGACTGGAACAATTCATAGAGACCATGTGTGTTCCACAGCCGAGCAGTAATGGTTACAGTTTATTTGGCTTTGGTCTCTGTGAGCGTGGGGAAGATCAGCTCCTTGGAAAGAAAGCACCTAGCATTCTTATAGAGACCCTGTCTTGCTTTGTCTGTTTCTCTTTGCTCTTGTTCACTCATGTGCTCAGCAGTTGCTTCTTTTCCTCTGTCCGAATTTACTGTCCTCATTGCTTGCTTGTTTGAAATGTGTATGAGTGTTTTACCCATTACATATGTACATACGTATATGTATGTATTAATGTAATATGTATGTAATAACACATATAATACAATATGTGTGTATTGCACTGTGTACATGTATGTATACATGTATGCCTGGTGGCCTGGGAGCCAGAAGAGAGCATCATATCCTCTGGAAGTGGAGTTAAAGACAGTTGAGCTGCCACGTTGGTACTGGGAACTTTACAGGGTCCTCTGCAAAGCACCCTTCATTGTGTGGCAGGTTGGAAAGAACAAGAGTTTCCAAAGTCTTAAGCAAGTACTTTATACTAATTTCTGACAGAGTTGGAGTGTGAAGATCTACTCTAGCTTGAAACTATGAAGTCTGATTTTTGTAATTCTGGTGGGCGTGTTTGTGGAATCCTGTGGTTTGTATGCTACTGATACCTGATAGGAGGTTAGGGCTCCATGCTTTCTCAGTAGATTATTTTAATTTAAAAATATGCTTCTAAGGATGCTTCCTGTATTACTTTCAGAAACTTATTCATGAAAACAAATCTGGTTGTAACTCTGAATTATTTTGTGTTTCTTATACAACCTATACTCCTGATTTCCTGGGTTTGGGGGCTGTAGAAAGGAATGAGGCAGCCCTTTCCTTGGGGAGGTGCCTCAGGAACTAGAGTCCAGCTGCTTCCTGATGGCAAACGTCTCAGTTCATTGATTTTAGAGCTTACCTTCAGAGTAAGACATCTGACCTTCCATACCTTAGAAACTTGTCCTTTGTTTTAATTTCTACATTGTCTCTGATGCCTTGGTAGCATGCATTGAAGCTTAACTTGTGTTTGAAGCTCTGAGTGTCAACATGATAGATTAACTTTTTGTGTCTGAGTTCACTATGGCACTAAATGAAGGTGCTGTTCTTCATGGAAGACATATGAAGAGTTCAACTTTTGAAGAAATAAATGTAAAAGTTGTGGTGGTTTTTTAAAAAAGAAAATGTTGCTCACTGTGTAGAGAGCATAGTTTCAATTTAAATTAGGAAAAACTTAACAGTATGACATCTTATGCTTGGTTGAAGGCTGCAGTATGACACATTAGCAATACTGGTCTATCAAGTCTAATTTTGAATTTTAAATGGTGGCTTTGCATGGTAGGAAGTATAGAAGTCTGTTGTTGCATATTCTGTACACAAAACGTGTTAAAGATGTAAAAGGTGAGAGAAGTCTAGCAAAGATAGAATATTAAATAGCATTTTAAGAAGAACATAATATTAATTACTAGTCAAAGAACAGCTGCTATATTGAATTAATGTACTTCATTGAGTTAGAATTGTGTCATAAAACTTATGTTTTCAATATGTAGAAACTTCTAGTGGAATAGCAGGACTTTAAAAAGCATTTTATTGTGAAATGTCTAAAAGTCCTGGGGCTGGCAATATGGTTTAGCAGTTAAAGCCATCTTTCACCAAGTGTAGTGACCCGAGTTTAGTCTTTGAGAGCCACATGATGTAAGCAGAGAACCTATTGTTAAAGATTGCCCTCTGATCTCCATACTCACTCCCTGACACCTGTGTGCATCCCCCCCCAGTAAATAAACACATATATTTAACTTTTTCTAAAATCTAAAAGCCTTCATAGCACATTCATTTAAAAAACAAAACAAATAAAACCCCAAAAAACTATTCATCTCCTATCCATCTCATTAGAACTGCATCCCAAAACCTGGTACCTGGGAGCCATTACTCTGAATTTGCTATGTATTATTGCCTTAACATTACATGCATCAGCAATTACTGTCTTTATCACTCTGATGCAATGAAAGTAAAATGCATTTGGAAGTAATTGCTCTCTGTCTTTTCTCCTATTTTAAGAGATGACCATCACAAGGAGCACATGCTTTCTCCAAAGCCATCTGTGTTGGTTAAGTGATAATACAGCTTCATGAGACAAGAATGTCATCATTTGGTTTGGAATGTATTTACCAAGTCTCATGAATTAGAGATTGAAATGTGGATGTAGCATAGTGAGAATTCAGGGGTGCATGTAGATATTGTTCTGGTTGACTGCCTTCTCAAAGCTATGACAGTGAACTTGCCACATAACAGCAGCAATTAATGCTATTAGTTAATTTGCTTATTGCTTTTACTGCTTTAATCATTATGTTTTAGTTTGCTTTGCAATGCTGAATATCTGGTATTTGTGATATTTGAGTACATACAAGTGTTTATTAAGTGATACTCTGAAGATAAGTAATTTTTCTTTTTCATTTCCATGCAGATGATCATCTGGTTGGAGAAGATGTTAGATAAAATTATTAGCATTTTCATCATATTCTTGCTAGTAATAGGAACCCTTCTTTTAGCCCTTCTCCTGACTGCAAAGGTAAAGTACACAACCTGGCTACCTTGTTATAACAAAGGCTTTGTTTCTAGAGTTGCGTATGCAGAAGAAGCTAGCAGAAGCGAATGGAAAATGTTATTTGACTTGTCAGAAGTACCTCTACACACTAAAGCATTTCCATTTTATTCATTAGTAATTTTGCTGTGGGTCTGCCTAGTATGATTTTCTTCTAAAGCTCTTTTGCACACATTTTATTTTGTCATCAAACCTTCAGAAAAAAGAATTCTGAAAAGAATCCTTCCCACTCCCATGGCCGCCTAAAACAGCTGGTTTCTGAACTAGTCTCATGACTCCTAAGCTAGTTAGTGCAGTGTTCCCTCCTCCCTTGTCTCCTGCACTGCAGACACCCTCCTCCAGCTCCTGCCGCTGGTCTTCCTGTGGAGCACTTAAGTCTGCTGCGGGTCCACATGCCTGTTTTCGTCCTTGTTGCCTGTACTTTTGTTGTCTATTTTCAAATGCTATCATCTGGCCATGGCATGGCCATTGTTCTCCTTAAGTCACACCCATAGGAAACCCTCAGAAGGCCGAGGCCATTTAACTTCCCTCATGGGGAGGAACACATGGCAGCTCACATAGGGTCTTTTTTTTTTTTTTTCGCTTTTTAGATTCTTCCGATTGTTTCCTTTCTCATGGAGAAAGGAGCACAGCTCGTTTTATCTTCACAGTGGTGTGCTGTGCTGAGGGCAGTTTCTCCCATTCACTGAAAAGTGAATTTTTATCTTTACTTATCTGAATCTGCTTGACTCCACTTCCAGATTTTGGTGTTCTGTTTTCAGAAAATTGTGAAGTGTACCTGAAATCATGGGTATCTTTAACAGTCCACAAACAGTCGTTAATAACTGTCACCAGTAGATGATCCAATGGTAACAGTTTGCTGAAGTACCATTGTGCTTGCTGTGGGCTGTCTTCCCCCAGAAATTCTATTCTTCAGTCAGGCCCATTGTGGTTTATTCACTTTGCCCCTGACAGCCCACTCTGCTAGCTCTTCCATTTCTTTCAGCCTATGTGCTGCTCCTGTCTGCTCTTGTTTCTCTGTGTTTTTTAAATTTGTTTAAATACTGTCACAATGTAAAGAAAACCTGTGGTACATTGTTCTAGACCTTTTGCTGTAAAGATGAGCTATTCATGTATGTTATGTGTCATGGTATACCACAGAACAAAGAACGGGCTGGGGAAATGGAGCTGAATTGATGAGCAGTTACTTCAAGTGGGTGTAAGTCAGTATTAGCTTGAAGTAAGTTATATTGATTAAAGATTTAGGTTTTAGATATGTTAAACAGAAACTACAACTCCTAAAAAGTCTGTAGTTTAGGTGAACTAAAGTGGTAAAGAAAACATTTCCTCAACTTGGTCTATTCCATCTTTATCTCCCTCATTTTGTTAGTTACTGGGCAAGTGTCTTAGTCATCGTTCTATTGCAGTGAAGATAGAGCCTGATTAAAGCAACTCTTTCAAAGGAAAGCATTTAATTGGGGGCTTGATTACAGTTTCAGAGGATTAGTTCTTTTTCATTATGGTGGGGGGCATGGCAGCGTGCAGGCAGACATGGTGCTGGATAGCTGAGAGCTACATGCTGTTCCACAGGTAGCAGGGAGAGAGCCTAAATCTGGTGTAGGTTTTTAAAACCCCAAAGCCCACTCCCAGTGACACACTTCTAACAAGGCCACACCAAATCCTTCCAAGTAGTTTTACTCCCTGATGACTGAGCGTTTGAACATATGAACCTATGGGGCCATTGTTATTCAAACCATCACAACAAGGCAAGTTCAGTTTCTGTTCCCAATGGCTTTTCTATATGCAGAACTACACAGAAGATACGGTGTTTTTTTTTTGTTTGTGTATCTCGCCATGCACAGTTACTGTATTAGCTTACAATTTTGGTATTGCATATGAAGACGCATAAGCATGCACACAATCTGTATTGATATATATACACGTGTGAACTAGTTGCTATATCTATTATGTCTATGAGTTAAGTATTTGAGGTTTGCTTTTTTTTTTTAAGGCAGATTATTGAGCTTCTTGAAGACAGGGAAGGTATATATGTATATCTTTCAGTGTATATCATAGGACATTATGTATGACAACTTATAAGTGCCATTTCTAAATTCATAAAACCAAGATATATAATTATTTCATCTTATCAGAGTAGGAAAAAATATTTTAAATCAGGTTTATTACATTGATTTTTTTTCTCTTTTTACTTATATTACAGGTACATCAAGAAAGTGTACATATGATTGAAGTCACAAGCAGTCTGATTAATGAAACTCTAGCAAATCACCCAGAGTGGGCAAAGTAAGACTACTGTTTTGAAAAAGGATACCCTTGGGTGACCTAGTTTCAGCAACTGTATGCACAGAACAGTGTTCATTGATGTAGCTACATTGGAAAAGAAGAGATACGATTTGCCAAAGCTTTAATAAACTAGAATAATGTAAGGAGTAGGTTTTAAGATTAGGCTTACGTAGGCTTAAGATTAGGGACAATTTCTCCTATTACTCCGAAGGTCAGACTGACCTAACTGACCTAACACTCAGACACTCTTTCCTCAAACTCCCAAATAACAAAATTGCAGTCACATATCCCCATGCCTGACATTTTCTGTTTATTTTTTTTTTCCTTATGAAAAAATGTTTTCTAGGCATCTTGACTTTTGTGGCTATTGGCAGCAATCAGCTTCTCGGTATGATCATCTTATACATACACATCCATGAAGCTGCTAAGAATTGAGGCTGTTGACTGTAATAGTGTGCTGATTCTTTTCCATGTGCCAGCTTGGTAGCACGCATCATATTTGAGCCTTAGAAAAATGAGCACATAGATACTATTGCTTTGATCTTTCCGTGTGAATCATGGCTAATTGAAGCCAGAGCTATTAAACTTGTGGATACCAGTATCTAGTGTGTAGAAACCTGGAGACTGCAGTTCTTACTGTGGCTGGAGCTTTGTGAGGAGACTCCATATCAAAAGATCAGTGGATAAAAGATGGAAAAAAAATTAGTTTAGCCTCTTAATTTCTGAATTCTTCCTTAGTTTTACACTTCCTTATACCTGTGGGTCTCAGACACCTGCAGGAGTTCTTAGGGCACACATTTTTCTTTCAGTAGGTCTGGGATTGGGCTCAAGCATTTTCCTCTCTAACAAGTTCTCAAACAGGTTGGGTGCCAGTTGTCCATGACCCACACTTTCAGAATCTTGTCAGATGTTGACTATCTCAGTGCTCTAGATTCATGTCCTCTGTCTGACTAGGCAGGTGTCTATTGCTATGAAGAGACACCATGACCATGGCAACTCTTACAAAGAAAAGGTTTAATTGGGGTACCTTGCTTAACAGCCTCAGAGGTTCAGTTCATTATCATCACGATGGGGAGAATAGTGGCATGCAGGCGGATGTGGTGCTGAAGCAACAGGAAGTCGACTTGAGCAAAAGAGACCCCCAAAGCCCACCCCCACAGTGACACACTTCCTCCAACAAGGCCATATCTCCTAATAGTGCCACTCCCCTTTTTGCCCTTTTTCTTTCAAACCACCATATTCCACCCCCTGGCCCCCAAAGGCTTATAGCCATATTCTAATGCAAAATAGACATTCAGTCCAATTTCAAAAGTCCCTATAGTATATAACAGTCTCAAACTTGTTTCAAAGTCCAAAGTCTCTTCTGAGACACATGGGAATCTCTTTAACTGTAATCCTCTTGTAAAAATCAAAATCAGAAACATATTATATGTGCCCAGCATATAATGACACAGGATATACATTACCATTCGACAAGGCAAGGAAGTGAGAAAATACTGGACGAAAGCAACACCAAAAACCAGCTGGGCAAAATCAAAACGCTGCAACTCCATTTGATGCCAAAATCCTCTTCAGATTTCCAACTCCATTCAGCTCTGTTGACTACAGCTTCTTTCTCTTGGCCTGGTTCCACTCCCTGTCAGCAGCTCTCCTCAGCTTGTATCTCATGACTCTGGCATCTCTGACATCTTGGGTTCTCTAAGGTAATTCAGGCTTCAACTTCACTGCTTCACTTAATGGCCTTTCACTAGGCCTCTCTTCAGGGACACCCTGATTCATGCCTGGCCTCAGCAGCTTCATTTCATAACTCCTTTCTTTTATCCTTAACTCTAAATCCAGAACCATGTAGCCAAAGCTACCAAGTTCTGCTGCTTGCTGGGGCTGGAACGTGCACCCCTTGTTTAATTACATCTTCACCAGCTTTCTATTTTCCTTCACTCCCTAAGCTTGGCTGTCCTTGAACTTGCACTGTAGACCAGGCAGGCCTCAAACTCAGAGATCCACCTTCCCAGTGCTGGGATTAAAAGTGTGCCTCACCATACCCAGCTCTAAACTTTCCTTTGGTTCCTTTTCACAAGTTGAAAACTTAGAGTGGGGTCTTGCCTGAAGTCCCCACTCCTTATTCCACTCCTTTATTCTACTTCTTAGTCCGTGTATCTCCTTGCACATAACATTTAGTTCTATTTCATGGTGCTCTTTCTGTCCTCAGAATTTTTACTTTGTAATTTACCCTGCTCAGCTTGTTTCTTTTCAAGTCTTCATTAGAGTTACCACTAATATCACATGACAGTGTCAACTAGGCTGTTTTGAGAGTTCTTCTTCCAGTGGAATTAATCTAAAACTCTTCACTTTAGCCTTAGGCCAACTCTTCAGACGGCAAAAGGCAGCCACTTTCCTCACCAGTGTCACAAGAACAATCTCTAGGAAATGTACAAAAATTCTTCTCTGAAACCTCTTAAGTGAGCCCCTGACAGTTCAAACAACTCTTACTTAGCACCTCTGTCTTCCAGGCTTCCACAAGTATGACCCATTAAGTAGTGCTTAAAGCATTCCACTGCTTTCATAACCCAAAGTACCAAAGTCCAAATTCCTCCAAATAAACACAGGTCAGGCCTATCACAGCAGTTCCCTAGTCTCTAGTACCAAATTCTGTCTTTGTTTGAATTTTCTGTTGCTTGAGAGACACCATGACCATGGCAACTCTTATAAAGAAAACATTTAATTGGGGTACTTGCTTACAGTTTCAGAGGTTCAGTCCAGTATCCTCATGACAGGGAGCATGGCCCATTATCCTCATGACAAGGGGCATGGCAGTGTGCAGGCAGATGTGGTACTGGAGCTGAGAGTGCTGCATCTTTTTTTGTAGGCAACAGGAAGTTGATTGACTGTCACACTGAGGGAAGCTCGAGCAAAAGAGACCTCAGAGCTTGCCCCCACAGTGACATACTTTTTTTTTACAAGGCCACACAACCTAATAGTGCCACTCCCTTTGTTGGCCATTTTCTTTCAAACCATCATAGTAGGTGATCTAGGACAGGTGTAGGCGGAAAATTCAGGCAGAACAGAATGAAAAGGAAGCTAGGGGTGGGTGGGTGGTGTGGGAAGGTAGGTCTAGATCCTATGGAGAGATGGAAGGGGATCCTGAGGGTTAGGATCAGCTGGGGAGGGGGTGGAAGGTAGGTCTAGATCCTGTGGGAAGGTAGGTCTAGATCTTCTACAAGGATGGAAGAGGAATCCTGAGACTTAGGATCAGGATCATCAGGCCTAGGTATCAGATGTTCTCTGTGTTAGTGATTAATCAATAATTTGTTATTGGTAGCTTTAGTTCAAAGCATTGTTAGAAGAATATACCAAAAAGAGGCTTTTTCCATTTTCTCTTTCTGTCTTTTCTATCAGTTGGCTTCCTGAAGCTCAGGTGGTCCAAAGAGCCCTTAATTCTGCAGCTAACAATGTATATCAGTATGGACGGGAATGGATAACCCACAAGGTAAGGAGTGAATCTTCCTCGTTCCTTTCTGTGTGCAGGATTTCTACAGGAGCAACTTCTTCCTTTGATAGAGGATATGCAAAGATTCTCTTTGGAGCAATTTCCATTTTTGAAATGCATTTGCATCTACAGGTGGACAAGTACCATAAAGTAGAATCAAACTCTTAGGATATCACACTGAACAGTGCTTATGGCCTAAGCAGTCTTGAGAAGTTGACTGTTTACTTTCTTTCTTTCTTTCTTTCAAGATAGATCTGATTTATTTGTGCTTTAGGATGGAATGATCACAGAACTCGAGTGATTAAGTAAGATTTTGTGGAAGAAAAAGCATTGGTGCAAACATGTTGAATCCTGTATCTGCTGCTTACTGTGCTTGGCAGTTTCTAGTTTATTTAGCATTCTAAGCTTCCTATAGTACTTTGAACTAGTTTAACCTGCCTTCCAGATGAGAAAACAGGCTGGGCAGGCTCAGCAGATCCTGACAGCCGCATGGGATATTCGCTCCACACTGGTGACTGACTCTAAATCCTTGTTTCTTTCTGTGTGGCCGGAATTAGAGTAAGTGCTTTTAGGTGGCACTTGAAATAAACCCAGAAGGAGTGGCAGGTCAGGGAAGAGTGTGTGTATGAAAGCTTTGTGGAGGGAAGACACAGAGGCACTGGTGTGCTTGTGCTCGAGATGGACTTGACGAGGGGACAGAGCTCTGTGAAGGGAAGGGTGGTAAAGGAAAAGGCGCAGTTTTTGGACTTAAGGAATAGTTTTCTTAGTATGAATTTGGGCTACACTCCTTTCCTGTTATTGCCTAGAAAATACAGTTAATTTTTAGCCATAATATACAAAGGTAGTTAGGATCATATAAGGATTGACAAGATTGAGAGCACTGGAATTTGTGCCCCCTAGGTTGCATGAGTAATTAGTTTTTTATTTAAAATGCAAAAACAAAGTATTGGAGAAATGGCTTGAAAGTGGTTCAGAGCACTTGCTGCTCATGCAGAGGACCTGGGTTAGGTTCCCAGGACCTGTATGCTGGCTTACAACCTTCTGTAACTCCAGTTCTGGAAGAATTGGCACTTCCTTCTGACATACACTTGGTGCACATATATACATGTAGGCAACACACTCAAAATAAAAATAAATCTTAATAAAATTCAAAATAATATATCCCAGTTATGAAAAATATGCTCTATATACATGCATTCCTATCTGCTAATAAAAGATGAAATCATTAAAAGTTGAGAGAAAGTTTGTCAGTTGGTTCTGTTATGTTTGTTTAAGATGGTATGATCAGTTAGCACATGATAATATTGAAAAAAACCTGATGAGCAAGCAAAGGATAAACATGTATATACAGATCTTAGCACTGTCATAGGAGAAAAAATTCCTCCAAAGAGCTTGCAGCTTTCTATAAAGTTGTTATTTTGCTAAAAATATAGCATTGTATTCTGATTATTTATTTGGGAGTTACATGTATGTATTAATCATACTGAATTGTTACTTAAAATATTAATCAGATTGTACCTGTATTTTTTTTCCTAGCTTCACAAAATTCTAGGAGATAAGGTGAACAATACAGCTGTGATTGAGAAGCAGGTCCTAGAGCTGTGGGATAGACTGTATCACTCTTGGTTTGTGAAGGTAAGTTCTTTCAGCTAAGCGTTTCCACAGTAACCAATAACACCGTTTTGCTTTATAGACTAATTGAATAAGGAATTTTATTAAATTTGGAGTTTCCTTTACTTTAACTTTCCAGCAGTGAGAACTTAAGCCTTTGTCAGCTTCCATTGGTGATTAGTCTCTCTGGGGCCTAAAGGAAAGCCTTCCATCCTTTGTTCATAACATAATCCCTTCTCTGCAGTAGCTCGGGACAGGGCAGGTGTAATGCAAGCCACATCTGTTTATGTACTTCTGGTGATGGGGATTGAACCCAGGGTCTCATGTGTTAATAAGTACAAGATCTGCCACTGAGCTGTGCCCCAAGCTTCTGCAAGCCACCTGTGTGACATTAATCTGTCTAGTAGCTGCATTAAATAACTAAACACAGACAAAAATATTAAATGACTAAAAATAGATGAGAATTTTAATAATATATTTCATTTAATTCAGTGTTCCCACTGCCATTTCAGTATATACCTAATAAAATCAAATTTGATATTTTGTATGCCTAGAACAACTAAGTCTTTGAACTCTATAGTGTGCACTTTACACCAGCAGCACAGCTCAGATTTAGTGTGAGCCACATGTTGGTAGCTTTATGTGGCTAATGGCTCCTGTTAGGGACAGGTGGATTCTAGACAGTGGAAGCCCTTTTCTTTGAGGAGACAGACATGGATCTAAAGCTTACAGTTCATTTCCAGCCAGCTTTGTGTGTTGCCTATTTATACTTAGGTACTCTTACTTTAGGTTTATGGTAGAACAAGTACAGCTGCCACTAAACATAAGCAATGACTTGGGAAGCAGTGGTCTACTGAGCCAGTTCTGTGTATGCCAGGTCTGGTGGGCTGCTCAGGGCCATGTTCTATGAATAGTCGGGCAGAAGTGCTGTTTTTCCCAAGAAGAACGTGTGAGAGGAAGGTAGCTAGGTTCCAGCTTCTTGCTTAGTGATGTGTTTCACAGTGTGAGTCTTTCCCTGAGAGGAGAGGAGGGACTAGTATCGCCTTGGCAGTGAAGACTGAGTGTTAAAGCTAATAGTGGTGTACGAGATAGAGTATTTTCTCTTTGATTCTATCGGAGGAGCTAAGCAATTAGGAAGATCTTACTAGTTTCCTGTGTTCACTCTGGAGCTTCTTAGCATTTAGCTTTTCTTGTCCCTCGCCCTGTGTGAGCCCCATTGCTGGAGTGCTGGATTCTTGAGCACAGATCTGGACATGGAGAGTGGCGGGCTCTCTTCCCTGCTCTCAGAGTGCAGCATGCTGATGAAGCATGCCACGTTCAAGGTGGGCACACGAAATGTGGAGAGCTTGCTTCTTATTCTTAGCCTCGTTTTGTTTATTCATTTTCCTTTCAAATTTGGTGTTTCCTGCCTGTGTAAATTTCTTTCAGACAGAGAGATAGACAAATTTGATGACCCCGCCCCCCATGTTTGAGTCTCTGAAATAGTCTCTTCCCTCTCTGCTCTTAGCTTGTGTAGATGATTGAGAAAGGAGAAAAAGGTGAAGGTAGGAAACTAAGAAAAGGTGGAGGTGCAGAAGGAAACGAAGAAGATTTATGTGAACTCTTTGGGTGCTGTGCACACAGAGGTGTATTGTGAGTTCAAAACCAGGAGGGATCCATGTATATCACGCTAGACACAGTACCTAGAGTGTGAATGCAGAAATTCTGCGCTCCCAGTCTGTAGGTGAACCCTACTTAATAGCTTACATAGGTGAGTACTTGCTGAAGTGTGTATAAGCAGGTATCAAACAAAAGAGACATTAATCTCGGATGCATTAAGATTTGGCATGTCACCGGCTTTGTTCCACAGAACGTGACGCACTCTGGAAGGCACAAAGGGCACAAGATGCATGTTAATCGTCAGAACAGCTGGCTGGGAGATATTCTGGACTGGCAAGACATTGCCTCCTTCGTTCATGAGAACATTGAAACATTTCTTTCGGTAAGACATAGTAGTTATTGTTGAACTGAACTTGGGAAGAAAAGCTGTAATTCCGACTCTTCTTATATCAGTCTCCTCAGCTGCCCTGTTTGGAATGCTGTGAAATGTACAGGCTTTGAGAACTTTAAACTGGAAAGCTTCCAGGAGCTGCAGTCCTCAAGTCTGGCTCCCCAGGCCTGGTGAAAATAGCAAAGAGATGCTGAATCGGGGAGCACATGAACTTGGGGTCTTAGATGGGTGTCCTTGTCCCCAGGGTCACCAGAATGTTCTTAGCTGGACCATTAGAGATAGACCTGTTTTTTTTTTTTTTCTGGTTGGTAAAGCCCTTGACATCTAAAACTAGGGACCCAGTTACATTAGAGGGATTGACTGTGTCTTAGTGTTTCTATTGCTGTGAAGCACAGCAACTCCTATAAAGGAAACATTTACTTGGGGTGACTTACAGTTCAGAGACTTAGTCCATTATCGTCATCACAGGAAGCATGGCAGTGTGTAGGCAGACGTGGTGCTGGAGGAGGAGTTGAGAGTTCTACATCTTGATTTACAGGCAGCAGAATGAACACTGTGTGCCACACTTGAGCATATGAAACCTCAAAGCCCACTTCCACAGTGACACACTTCTTCCAACAAGGCCACACCTATTCCAACAAAGCCACACCTCCTAATAATGCCGCTCCTTATGGGCCAAGCATTCAAATACATGAGTTGATGGGGGTCATTCCTATTCAGACCATCACAGACTGTCAAGGCTTAGACTGTTGGTCACCAACTCTCACCATGCTCCATCCACCTTGCATCATTGCTGAGTGCTGATTACCTCCCTTGTTTTCCCAGAGCCGATTTTGTCAGGTATCTTGGCATGTGACTTACAGAGAAGATTTTTCTTGTGAATATATGTGTGACTTTCATCAAATTAAAATGAGTTGAGGCCACAGCACTAAGTTTTAAGGAGTTTAAGCTGAGCGAAGCAGTCTGTGACGTAGCTAAAAGCAGGGCTGCCTGTGTCTCCACACTGGACTCGGGACTGCTGTCTGCTGCAGGGCAGTCTTCTCTGGTGTTCTCTGGATTGCTAAAGTGATGTTTATGTTGCTCTTTCTTGTTTTGCCATTTTAGATATTATCTTTTGGCTTCCAAATATGGAAGATGAAGGTAACGATGTGACTTTCTTACAAGCCCTCAGTCTTTCTGACACTTGTCTTGGGTTTCTCACAGCTCCCTCAGCCACCTCCCTGTGCTCACACGCTGCCTTTTCTCTCGCCTGAGGTGCTTCACAATCTGGAGTGAAATCTGGAAAATTAACATCTTTCGTTTTTATGTTTTGATTAATAATTTACTTAATTAAGTAATGGGGACTTACTTTGTTCCCCATGCTGTCCCTGAACTCATGGCTTCAAGCAGACCTCCTGCCTTAGACTCCAAAGTTCTTCAAATTTTAGGCAGCTATAGGTGCCCAGCTATTCTGTTTTGATAACCCCTTCCCTCTGCTTTTACTAGCCCAGTGGTTCTCAAAGGTTTTAGTACTGGACTTCAAAGTGCATATTTATTTATTAAATAATTTTTCATTGTAACACAAAGAATATTTTAGTGTGTTAAAAATACAATTTTTTGAGTCTGAGGAAATGCCTTAGTTAAGGTGTTTGCCGTACAAGCATGAGGACCTGACTTCAAATCCTCCACACCCACATAAGCGTCAGAGGTGGAAGCACACTTTAACCTCAGTGCTGGGTGGAGGTGGAGTGGGATGCCGGGGCAGGCAGATCCTGGGACTGTGCCGGACAGCCAGTCTGTGTGAGTCAGTGCACTGTAGGTGCGGTAAGAGACCCTGTCTCAAAACTAGGAAGTAGAGAGTAATTAAGGAGGACACCTGATGTTAGCCTCTGGCTTCCATTCTCATGCGTACATAAGCACACGTGTCCCACACACAAATGTGCACACATACACAATACTATTGTCCAAGATGAAAAAATATCGGGAACTTATCTCTATAGAAAACTGTCTGTAGGAGAGTTACTTAAGGCCTCTTAGTTTGCACAAACCAATTTTACGTCTGGATTTCATCTTTGCTCTATATTTAGTCTATTAGAATATGCTAATTTTGGCCAGTTCATGGAAAGAACATCTATTCTCACACAGTAGGGTAGAGGGAAACTCACCAGCGAGATTGTGAGCTGAACACGCCACTCTCCCTTGCTTTGGAAGATCTTGTACAGATAGATGAGAAAAGGCAGCTTTTCCAGCTTGTAGTTGTGGACAGTCTTTGTTACTGTCCAGAATCAGCACAGGCTCTTTTTAAAAAGGTCTATGCAGTGTGAACTGTGAAGCTGGTAGTAATCTTTTTATATTCTGACTTATCAAAGTCCATTGGCCAATTTCGGTTAAAGATGTTTCTTTTACCCTTGTGTGCTTTGGTAATATACATTGGTTATTCAGGATATTGGTTTGTTCATAACTGTATACTTTCAAAATACTGAAAGTTTATTGAACAATATTATAAATCACATTCTTGAGATACACCCACCTCTCTCTCCAGAACAAAAGAGCTTTTAAAAACAGCCTATTCAAATTCCTAAAAGTATGAATTTGTTTTTTAAACGGGGAGTTCAGATGTTGTGTTCAGCGGAAGCTCTCAGTGTTGCTCTTTATTGCTGCTACATTTTGGAGGACTGGTCCACCTTGTAGCAAGTCTTTTGCGTGTCTCATAGACTTGCCGCCAGTGAGAAGGCTGCCGTGACCAGTCCCCACTCACTCACAGCCGTGCCTTTTCTTGGAGCTGACCATTTCCTCAGAGTCCATCTCTTCTGGCAGCTTTTCCTTGAGTTCTGGGGATCCACTGAGCCGTCTCCCTGGGATTCCTAGTTTATGACAAAGGACCACCCAGATGTTTTATAAATATTTTCCAGTTTATTATCCTCAAGTTCTTGGGGAGCTGATGAACTTGCTCTTGTCCTAGTAACAGATTCAGTGACAGTAAAGCAGTTAACATTGCATCCAGTTTTTCTTTTTCCTGTCTGAGGGGCCAGCATGTTGAGTAGCATGCTGTGATCTTCCAGAACAGGTTTCCTCCTCAGGAACGCTCTGGGTCTCATTCCACACTTCTCTGTCTTTGTTTATCCTTTGCTTTGTTAGGTTTTGTTCTGACTTTTTTGAGGCATGGTCTGCTTTGTAGCCCTTGCTGGCTTCTTGTTCAAAGAGATCTGCCCACCTGTGCCTCCAGAGTGCTAGGATCAAAGGTTTACTCTATACACATATTCCTCAGCTCCCCCTAGAGTGTTTCAGAACACATGGAGGTTCCCCTACATTCAGACTCTTCCTAGTTCATTTCAACCTTATTTGGTACTTGAGTATATTTTACTGCTTTCAGTTGTGATGCTCAGTCTTTCTGAAGGAATGGAACTTTAAAGATTTATTTATTTTTAGTGCATGTGTGAGTGTTTTCCCTGCATGTATATATGCAGTGCCTGTGAAAGTCAGGAGAAGACATCAGATCCTTTGAAACCGGAGTTACAGATGGTTATGAGCCACCATGTGGGTGTTTTGAACCAAATCTGGGTCAATGGTGGGTTTTTGTTTGTTTGTTTTTTGTTTTGTTGTTGTTTGTTTGTTTTGAGACGGGGTTTCTCTGTGTAAGACCTCTGGCTGTCCTAGAACTCACTGTGTAGACCAGATTAGCCTAGAACTTAGAGATCTGCCTGCTTCTGCCTCCCAAGTGCTGGCGTTAAAGGTGTGTGCTACCACTGCCCTGCTTGCAGTGATCTTAATCACTGAGCCATTTCTCCATGTCCCCCAACTAGATTTTAGAATATAGCCTCATGTTGTATTGTCAACTAAACTAATGGAAAGAGGCACATTACAACTTGCGTTTATTACTTTTGTGCTTGAAAGAACAGTGGCAGAGCTGAATGGTATATTGAGGCCCCCTGGTACAATTCCCTTCCTAGAAGGCTAGAGGAGGAAGATGAACCAGAAAAGGTCAGTGGAACTCATGTAGCCCATATCTCTGGGCTTCTAGACTGACAGGGAAATAATTCCATTTTTACAGGAGAGAGGTTGCTTAGGTAGGATTTCTATTGCTCTGAAGTGACACCGTGGCCACAGCAACTCTTTTTTTTTTTAAATATATTTATTTACAATCTTTTATTTTTTTAAATTTATTTGTTTTATGTGCATTGGTGTTTTTGCTTACATGTATGTGTGAGGGTGTCAGATCTTGGAGTTAGAGACACTTGTGAGCTGCCATATGGGTGCTGGGAATTTAACCTAGGTTCTCTGGAAGAGCAGTCAGTGCTCTTAACCATTAGTAATTTCTCCAGCCTTCAACCATGGCAACTCTTATGAAGAAAAGCATTTCATTGGAACTGCCTTACAGTTTCAAAGGTTTAGTCCATTATCATCATGGCAGGACAGTGCAGACAGAGATGGTGCTGGAGAAGTAGCTGAGAGTTCTACATCTTGACCCATAGGCAACAGGAAGTGAGCTGTGTATCATACTGAGCGTAGCTTGAGCAAAGGAGATCTCAAAGCCCACCCTCATAATGACACACTTCCCCCAACAAGGGCACACACTCTTTATCAAAGCCACACCTCCTAATAGTGCCATTACCTATGGGGGCCATTTTCTTTCAAACCACCACAGAGATATTCTCTTATTTTGACCCCTGCATCCCTACAGTATTCTGTTTTTCTACTTCTTGAAGCTGCTTTTTTTGTGCTTCTTGGGTTCCATAGCAGATGAGCTCAGAAGTACCCGAGAAGCCATCTAAGAGGCCAAGAGTGACCCTGGAGGGAGGCAGCGGAGCAGGAGGATGCTGAGCCAGCCCCTTGTTAATTCTAATTGCCTTCTGTGACAGGTCGCTTAACTGCTTGTGAGTCTTCTCTGGGCTTACACACCATGGTGAGGGACTCGGTTCTAGGCATCTTTTTGGTTATGTTGCCATTGTTGATTAAATTAATGCTGGCCCTGGCTCATGTTTGCCATTTTTGAGTTGGGATGCATTTTTGCCTCTACAAATCTGTTGCATTCTTCTGAGTTTTGTGGGCTTTCTTACTGATCCTGCCTTTACTGATACCCTCCTTTCCAACCCTGGTGATTAAACTAAAATTCTCCTTTGATGATTGAGTTAACACCCCAGAACTGTCCTCTCTGGCTTTAGTTGATCCCCTTTCAAGTAAAAAGGTTGCTGGGTTGTTGGTGGAGACTGCCGTTCTACAATCTCTGTATTCATCTAATTTTTAAAGAGTTACAGGAGGATGTTTTCTATTTCTGTGACTCAGAAACTATGTAAATTTTTTTGATTAAAAATTCCAGAGTGACTGAGTTCCCCAAAAGAATGCTTGCCAAATTACAAATACAGACATTGTTTCTTAGAATCAGTGGCTTTGTTCATTCATTCTTTATCCCACAAGGTCAAACAGTTAATCATGCATATTTTTGTAGGCATAACGAAGCATTTTCAAGATTTTTTTGTAAGGGGTTTTTGTAAATGAAGCCTGTCTGTTGAATTCTCTTATGAAGACTCAGCTGAGGCTTGCAAGACATTCTGAGAGCAACAGACTGTCTTTTATAAATGGTATATGGAGGTGGGAAAGGAATGGACAGGCCTCACATGGACTGCAGGCCTCCCATCGATTGCTTGTCATACCTTGAGCATGTGACAGGTCCAGAGCTGCTCTTTTAAAAAGGCACCAAAGTGGATTGCAGGTATCAGCGTTACCTCCCTGGCTGCAGCAAGCCTCTGTGATTGAGTTCATGTCTGTACAGTTGAGATAAAGCCCTCCGCATTGCTGCCCTCACAGCGTTCAGCATCCAGCACTTGGACAGAACATGTTCTCTACCATTTTGTTTCCATGTTTTTATCAGTCGGAAGAACCCACTTGGGAAGAATAAAACAGACATTATGAGGGGTTTTAGTTGATGAAGGGGCAAGAAATGGAAACATGGAGATGTGATGGGATAGCGACATCACCCTTCAGTCATATTTTACATCTAACCCATGCACCACCCTCTTGACTATGAGTTCTCAGGAGTTTGTAGGGACTCGGTGAACTGAGTCATCTCCGTCTGTCCCAGGAAATGCTCTGGGACTTCGATCCTGTGTGTTCATTATTTCCATTGCGATTTCAAGTCATTGGAATAATACATTATATTTATAGTTCAATCTGAGTTGGCAGTGATAAGGGTAGAGAATAGACAGCTAGTCTAATGAGTGACCTGCACTTTAACCCTCCAAAATAAATAGAACCATGGAGGGTGTGCTTACATATTTTTCTGTAGACATGCATATGTGTTCTGTGTCTTACAATTAAAAATTGTAGACTGTATAAAAATTCTGTTTTAAAAACAGTAAGAGAAGCTGGACATAGTGATGCACACCTTTAATCCAGCACTCATGAGGCAGAGGCAGGTGAATCTCTCTGAGTTCAAGGTCAGCATGGTCTACAAAACAAGTTCCAAGGTAGCCAGGACTGTTACACAGAGAAATCCTGCCTTGAAAAACCAAACCAAACAAACAGATAAAAGCCAGAAAAAAAATATAATAAAATGTCTCTGATCGTTGCTTTAGTGTTATTTGGAGTGGATTCACGTAACTACTTAGCCATTTTCTTTACTATTGAACGTAGATGTTTCTGGGTGCTTTTTCTCTACCTTTAAGGTAAGTTTCAGTTTCCTGCCTCTTCCATTATGACTAATAAGGGAGACAGTGCCCTCAAAGCACACCGGAGCTACTCCCTTCATGAGGGTTCGTTCTAATCCCAGCTGTTCTCTCCATCAGATCTTGGAGTCCCTGTGGATTGTCATGAGCCGGAATGTGAGCCTGCTGTTTACCACGGTTACCACGCTGCTGACCATCCTCTTCTACAGTGGCACTGCCCTTCTCAACTTCGTGCTGTCCCTGGTATGAACATCTAGATAGCGCACACTGTATTTCCTTATCCATCACAGCATTTTTCTGGGCTCTGTATTTGTGCATGTGTGTCTTCTGAGGGTTCCCAAATGTGATCTTTTAGGAGATACTGTCCTTTGTTTTGCAGATAATTTTCCTGACCACACTGTTTTATCTGTTAAGTTCCAGTGATGAGTACTACAAGCCAGTGAAGTGGGTGATAAGCCTGACACCACTGTCTCAGCCAGGCCCTTCTTCTAATATTATTGGCCAGTCTGTGGAAGAAGCCATCAGGTAGGGACAAGGCTTCTGTTGTTCTTACTCCTTTCGTAAGCTTTCCATGACATCCCAATTACCAGCCTTGCATTTCATAGGAATATTCAGTGTTGAACTAGTGAAGGATGTTGGTGTTTTCAGGACCCTGTTCTCCCTTTCAGAAGGTCCTAGAAGCAGTGCCTGTGCTTTGAGGAGACGTTCCAACTAGTTTGCCCTTCCACTCTTCTGCCTGAGGGTACAGATGGGCTTTTCATAAACAGGCTCTCCGTCTGGATTCCATCTTCATGTCGCTTGCTCAGGAGAACCCCCTCCCCCATCTTCCATCACATAGTCTTCACCTCCTTGGGACCCTTTTCTGTTCTCAGGAGTGCTGACCTGGATCTATTATGAGGGCAGATGACCCTGATGCTTCTGCTCTTTTTGTTTGAAGCTGTGCTCTCTGCAGGGATAAGGTGGTTATTAGAAACACAGTGTTTAGTCATCTCCAAGTCTCTGCACTGTATCTGGCCAAAAACTTCCATGAAGCCTGTTTCTAGAGTCTGTATTGCAGGTTCAGTTTCTAACTGAGATTCTTCCCATATACACCCTTTAGGCTCCTTGCTCCTTCTCTTTTCCTCTATTTCTGGTAGGGTTTTGTCCTTTTGCAACCTTGACCTCTTTAGCTCCTTCTTTGCCTGCGTCTCATTGCCTAGTTAGAGACACTGTAGTCTTATTTTTGTGGATACCTAACTATTTAAAGTAAATAATTGTGCCACCCATCAGACCCTTCTTTCTACTAAGGACTAGACAAGCAATTATGAAAAATGTAGTTCATTCTGTAAATGCTCAGCAATACCAAGTCGTTATTTGTGTGGCCTTAGACTCAGTTACACAGTGGAACCTTTGGCATTTCTGTTTCTATATACTCCCAAAAGGTGCCAATGTTTGGAACTAGTCATCCGAGAAACTTTGAACTGACCGGGCAGTCCTTCCTGCATTCTCCTGCCCCCTCCACTGTATTCATGAGACAGCTAGGGAGACAACCACTTTGTCCTCCGGAAACCCTCAGCAAGATTCTAGAAAAGCATGTGTACTCTTAAAATAGCTCATGTCTAGAAATTCTGCCATTTTCTTCTCGTTCCTACTTGTGAAGCCTGGGGGAGGTCTTTATCAATATTTTCCTCTTGTATTGAATTGGGTGTCATCTGGCTTTTTTTTTATTGTTAGAAGTCCAGTGCACTATTATCACGTGTCTTTGCATGTTCATGAGGAACCATCGTATGAAGGTTCCATTTGGGAATGTACTATCTAACACTGGAACTTCCCAAGTGATTGCTGCTAGTGGAATACTTTTAACATCCCTTTCATGTCTCTGTGACCTCTGGCATCCTCACTGGATAAATAAAATGATGAAAATGCAACAATAGGTTATCTTTTATTTATCCACTTTTTAAAAAGTCTTTTGCAAATACTCTTTTCCCAAAAGGGAAAAAACAAAACAAAAAACGCTTCCTCTCTTTCCAGTAGCATAAAGCCACTAAATTTGCCTTTTCAAATTTGGGCTGGTGCCAGTCCTTCCAGCAGTATGGCTGAGGCCAAGGTGTGTGGGAAGACCCATTGCCCAGGAAGCCCACTGGTCTAAAGAGCAGTGCTCCAGCTGCCCACCGGAGCCTCTGTTGGCACTCTTGTTCTCACAGAGGCTTTACTTCCTCAGATTACAGTTCTGGAATGTTCTTGGGGTGCTTTCTCAAGGTGAGCAACTGATACTGAGTTGCTTAACTTTACACAAGACACTTCTGTACTCTCCTTACCCCAATCTCTCTCTCTCTCTCTCTCTCTTTTTTTTTTGAGACTGGATCTTGCTTTATCACCCAGGCTGGCTTTGAACTTGATATCCTCCTCTATATCCTTCTCTCTCTCTGTCTCTGTCTTTCTCTCTCTCTTTCTGTCTCTCTCTCTCTGTCTCTATCTCTCTCTCTCTCATGAGTACCATGCCAGGTCTCATCATTTAATATGGGGGAGGGAGGGAGGAGTTTAGTATCAGCTCTGTGATCCTGTTGGGTCTGAAAGCTAATAGGTGGGCTTAAATCTCCAGACAGCCACTTCTCAGCTGTGGCTGAGTGGGCTTTCCAGGCTCCAGTCCTCAGTGCTGTTTCTTTACAAGCTTATACAAAGACTCAATATGTTCAGCCTCTGCATGGGCTCCTCTCAAGCCGTCTTGGGGTTTGGGGCGGGGTGGTGGCAGTGATCCATGTTTAAGAGCCTGAGGAAGAATTTTCATTCTGAAGGATTGTTTAAGTAGGAATATGATTCTTTGAGGATGAAGATTAAGAAGAATAGGGGAAAAAATAGGAAAATTTGCAGTTTATTCTGTGTTTAGTGACACCAGTTTTATAAATAAGTCATTGCTCATCAGTGTACGGTCAAGTGAAAATTCATGAAATTATTTTTATATGATCCTTTAATGAATCATGTGGAATGAGATTGGGGGCTTATTTGCATGGTCAGGGGAAGTGTGTCCCTGAGCTTTGTGCTCCGAGCTGTGTGGTTTCATTTGTGCTCACTGTGGCCTTGACGTTTTGAACTTTATTATTTTAAGTCTAAATCCACATCCCTCCAAATTGAGTGCCCTTGCCATTGAGTTTTCATCCCATCTCAGGGTTTGAGTTAGTAGCATGCATCCTGGATCCCACATTTTTCTCCCGAGCAGCATGCTGTCTCCGAATGCACACTCCACCCTCTCCCTGGTGCTCCCATTCTGCCTGCTCTGGTGGGGGTATTGCACATGACTAAGTTGCATGTTGTCACGGCCTTAGTGCAATTTAGTGTGTGTGATATTTTCACGTGAGTGCATGCACACGGCTGTGGCTATTGCTTGCTGGGATTGATTACAGCTTTTTCGTGCTGGAGGGTGGAACTCCTGGTGATGAGTTAATTAAATGTGAGAATATACGTTCTAAAAGATTTAACTCAGAAAATGGATCTTCTACTTCTTCCCAAATTCTGAAAAATTGAAAGTGTTATTTTTAAAAAGTCAGTGTTGTTCCTTAAGAAAATTGATGTTTCCAGTTTCAAATTTGAATGAATTGTTGACTGAATGAAATTCTTACAGATTTAAAGGTGTAAATAATACTCATTTAGAGTAAAATGTGCAATAATAAATATAAAGTTTTATTTACTTACTTGCCTACTTATGTATTTATTTTGTTTGTTTGTCCATCCATTTATTTATTTATCTATTTGAGGCAGAGTTTCTGTGAGCAGCTCTGACTGCTCTGGAACTTGTTCTGTAGACCAGACTGGCCTCGAACTCACAGAAATCTGCCTGCCTCTGAGTGCTGGAATAAAAGTGTGCGCCACTAACCTCTGGCTAAAGTTACTTTTTTAAAAAGTGTTTTTAAGCTGGATATGGTGGCATGTGCCTGCAATTCTATCATTTGGGAGGCTGCGGCAGGAGGATTGTTGTAAGTTCCACGCCGGTTTGAGCTACATAGCAAGACCAAAGGAAATCTCCAAAAAAAAAAAAAGTATATGGAATATTTTTATTTGTTTGAGATGCCATAGCATTGAAATAAAGAGACAAAATTTCTTATGCATATTTGGGGAAATTAAATTATCTGGAGCAAATTATGCCTCAACTGAGTGATTAAAGGTTAGTGTAATTTACTTGAATGTTTAACTTTATAGGAAAATAACCCTAAAATCTTTGTCTTGTATGTAGTTTTTCATTGTGTTCATTGTGATACTTGCTACATTTGTTTTATTGAGCTTAAAAGTTTTGGGTACAGGTGTCTTCTATTATTTATGTAGTTGAAACCCTTTAAAAATTTTAAGCATTAATCATTCATAGTAAGGATACAAAAAGTACATTAATAAGTATTAATGATAGAAAAGTTCTGAATGAATATTTGTCGTGACTACCAGAGACTTCCTTTGGTGTCCAGAGTTGCCTGCTTCTGTCTATGACTCAGCTGTTCCTCGTGCAAGCTCTGCCTCTCTGGACTGCTCAGCAGCATTTGGGGCCAAGTGCACAGCATGACCTTGACTCTCACACTAGAAATTGGTTGTTGCTGGGTTTCTGTGCATTGACTGTGGAGCTGGTCTCTGAGGCAGGTGAACCAGGAGAGGGGAAAATAGGTGCACGGGGCAAACAAGGAGATAGTGGGCATTTGTTTCCTGACCTCTGTCCTAAAGTAAGAACTGCAATAAAACAAGAAGCAAGCTTTGGATTTCCCTCTTACCTCTACAGTATATGTTTGTCCTGTAGTTTATAACATTGCCTCTTAAATATAATTGTATATATTCTACTTGAAATGTTTTGTGAGTAATACATGGATGATCAGCTGAGTTGAACAGATGGGTCTGATAGACTACATTCAGGATTGAATCAGACCTTCAATTTGTTAGAACTAAAATTTTTGTGTCATAGTATAGGAATTGGAAGAAATGGTGGTATAGCCGTGATTGGGGAGCTGGTGCTGTCCCCATTCAGAATGTAACACGCTGTCTCTCACTGCTCATGGTCCCTTTACTAGCTTATTGTCTATGTGAGGCACACTGTAGTGTATTGAGGGTGAATTACCTGTGGGTGAATGGTAGCCTAGGTGGAGTACCCTTAGGTGGATGTTTCCTGGGGACAGGATAGTTTGGTGCTCTTCTGTTTGGTCTTTAGAGAGAAAGGTGGGAGGAATGTACAGAAAGGCAGAGTAAGTGGGGCCTGATTTTGGACTTAACTCATTTTCTGTTTGTTTCCTTAAGCCGTGTGTGTAGCATGAGGGCCAGCTTGTTGGGGTTTCTGTCCCACCCAGTACCCCAACAAGCCAGAAAGTCCCAAGGAAAATCACATGGAGATCTCTATAAGTTATAAAGCTGATTGACCCATTAGGTCAGGCTTCTTGTTAACTCTTATAACTTATGTTACCCCATTATCCTTATCTACGTTAGCACATGGCTCCGTACCTTTCTCAGCTGGGCAAGTTACATGCTGCCTCTTCGGTGGTCTGCACAGGAATGGCTGAGGGAGCTTTCTCCTCCCTAAC